CATCTAATTATTTTTTTTAACTCAATAAGTGCAGATTGATTATCATTCACTTATTATCCATTTTGAGTTCAAGATATATCAAATTAAACCATTCACTTTAAAAATCCTATCATTCTAAATCTACTTTAATCCGACTCAAAATTAATTAAAAGTGGACTTCACTCAAAATTATATATATCAAAATATCACTTTAAAACTAATTAATTAAAACATTTCAATTTTCAACATAGTGATTATCCTCTCTACTATTTCTCGTACATAGCATTAGTACAGTATCTTAGAATTGTTGTGTATTAACAATTACTCTATATATCCTCACTTTCGAAAACCTTGTAATGTTTTAACAATTATTCTATATATCTTATTTTACCTGTCATATTTATTATTTATTGGTCAAATAATTATTTATTTATTATTTGTTTTTTATTTTTTTTATGTATTTAATAGTATTTTTAAGAATCTACCACTACTTGTATTATATCAGGTGTAGAACTCTACTCTTGTATGCTTAGTATATATAGAACTCTAGCTAGTCTTGTATATATATTTATATATCGATCTGTACTTTCTATTTTCAATAATATTCAGAAACTGTTGTCATCTAAAGTAGTTTATAAATAGAGTTATTCCATTTTTTGTCCTAAATTTATAGGTGGTAGTTCACTTTTTGTCTTATTTTTTTTTTCCAAAACATCCACTTTTGATCATAGTATTATTGTGGCATGACCATTTTTGATAATCTATTAACAAAACAGTTTAAATTTCATCAAATATAAGTGCATTTTAGTCTTCAATTTTGACTTTAAAAAAAAAAAAACATAAACATAAAAAATATAGTGAGTCAACATACTTTGTATAAAAAATATCAAAATGTTCTTATATTTAACGTCATTTCAATAATTTTCATGACCGAGGACAAAAAATGGTCATGCCACAATAATACTATGACCAAATGAGGATGTTCTAATAAAAAAAAAAAACTAAAAGTGAATTGTCACCTAGAGGTGTAAACGAGTCGAGTCGAGCTCGATCGAGCTCAACAATTTTTGAACTGCTCGAGCTCGAATTCGAGCTCAATGTTGAGCTCGAGTTCGGACTCGATTTTGACCTCAAATTTGAGGGAGTAAAATTTTAATTTTTAATAATAATAATAATAATAATAATAATAATAATAATATTATTATTATTATTATTATTATTATTATTATTATTATTATTATTATTATTATTATTATTATTATTATTATTATTATTATTATTATTATTATTATTATTATTATTATTATAAGGCTCACGAGCGATTCGTCGAGCCACGAGCATAGGATATGTGAGCTCGGCTCGAACTCGATAATTAAACGAGTCGAGCCGCTCGAGTTCGGCTCGAACTCGATTTTGACCGAGCTCGAGCCGAGCTTTGACCGAGCCGCTTGTGAGTAGCTCGCGAGCGGCTCGGCTCATTTACACCTCTATTGTCACCTATAAATCTAGGACCATAAATTGAATTAAATCTTTATAAATATATAAATTTTATATATTAATACCAAACTTAATATTATGAAAAATTAAATTAAAAATAATTTTAACTGAACTAGACTCATAAAATTGAATGGAATTAATGAGTACTTCTTACACTAACGATAATGAATCCCTTGTGCACACTAACATTTGATTATATTATTTGAGTTATTGAATTATCGTAATTTACATATTCTCTCATGCTCTATCGGGACTCAGGAGAAAATAATGAATTCCTAAATAAATTTATTTAAATTACTTGACTATTGACATCGAGTACACAAACTATGTAAGCGTATGATTGGGTGCAGAAACCAATTACTCCGTAGAGTAATATTAGTCACCAAGTTGGAACACTATACTAAATAATAATGCATGAACCAATCTCAAAACGTACAATCACATTAGTCACCAATAAGCTTAATTTTTATCCATACAATCAAACCGTCCACGTGATCCGAATCATCAGATCCACATCCTTCCAATGTGATAGATCATCTTTTCTGGACTTTCACATATTAGATTCATCATCCAACACACCACGTGTCACCCTGTTCTTATGATGAATTTATTTTGTATTTTCCGCAACCTTTCATTGACGTTAATCCTATTGTACTTTATAAAGTATTTTGTATTTTAACCTTATTATGATTATTTAATATTTTGTTATTGACATTTCAAATGTCATTTAATCTTCGTCTTCATTCATATAATTTTTTGAATCCGTCCCTGTGCATGACATATATATATGCCTTGAAATACAAACTAGAAAGAATAATATAACAACGTTACATTTCAATAGAAAAAGAAATAATGAATGAATTGCAAAAATTAGGTTCACGATCTCTTAGCAAACAAGCTTACCACTGTCAAACTCTGTTTGTTTATAAATCGAACTCTAAATTTTGTTTGTTAATGTTCGTTTACCTTAACAAACGAATATAAACGAACGCTTATCGAACACACACGAGTAATTTATCGAAAGCTCTATTCACTAACACCCTTAATCACGCCATTAGCAATTAAAGATTGACATCTCATAATCACATCATTAGCAATCACCATCATAGTCATCATCCCACCATTATTGTACAAAATTACAATAAGGAGTCATAAATACCATAAATATACTCTCACAATAAAATATATCTTGTGTAAGAGAAAAAAAAAATTAGGAAAATGACACTTTTTCCTCCTGTGTTATATACTTATAGCACTTTTCCCCCCTATATTATTTAAGTCGTAATTTTTTTCCCTGATATATTATATGGACATATTTACTCTTAGAGTCCGTTTGGAAAGCAGGAAAATGACTTCTGGAAAATGAGTCATTTTCCGGAAAACATTTTCCGTTTCCAGTGTTTGGTTACATTTGGAAAACTATTTTGGTGTGTTTGGTACATTTTCTGGAAAATGAGTAGAATGGTATTATTAAATATTTTAATTATTTTATTTTAAATTAAAAATTCATTTTAAATCTTAAAAAAAAAAAAAAAATTTAATTTCCGGCGGAACCCATGGCTATGGTTTCCGGCGGAACAGTTCCGCCAGATTTAAAAAAAAAAAAAAAAATTGAAAGAGAAAGGCGGAAAACGACTTCCGCCCAAATTTGGCGGAAGTCATTTTCCGCCAAATTGGGCTCATTTTCTCCAGTCAACGGAAAATGGATTCCGTTGACTGGATTTTCCAGGTGTAGCCAAACACCAAAAACTCGGAAAATGACTTCCAGAAGTCATTTTCCGGGTTTCCAAACACAGCCTTAAAATAAATATTTCCTTTATTTTACTTCTCCAACAAATTATAACCACAATTTTGAAAAAATAAAATACATTAATTGTTGAATTTAGAATACTTTAAAAATAAAAAAAAAATTAAAATAAAGTTTGAACCAACAGTTCAAATTGGATCCGAAATTGTGAAACAACGATTCAAAATAAAAACCAAATCGCGATTATATATACTTATATGTGAGAGTCAATATAAATGCGAAAAAAAATACACTATTTGCAAATATTATAATTCTAATTTTAAGCTATTGCTAGTAGTTGTTCCGATTTGAACCTCTGGTTCACGGTTCAGAATCTATTTTTTTCCACTTCACAATTTTAATAAACGGAAACCCAAATATTGGGTTACGTTATGAATCATAAATGATTTTTTTTTTTGGAATAAGGGTCAAATAAGCCATCGAATTACACACAAAAATGCAATTAGGCCACTGAACTCAAAAAACATGCAATTGAGTCCCTGAACAACGCAAAATGTTGCAATTGGATCCAAAAGTGACTTGCTTACCTGAAGTGAAGGTTATTTTATTAAATTAATAATTTTTTTATTTTATTAATAATTATAAATAACAAAATTATTAAAAAAAAAAAAAAAAAAAAACCTTCGACTCCTTGCCGGAGTCCCTTCTTCTCCGGCAGGAGACGAAGGGATTCCATCGTCTCCAAGCCGGAGACGAAGGGGTTCCTTCGTCTCCAGGACGGAGACGAAGGGGTCCCTTCGCCTCCGGCAGTCTGGAGACGAAGAGGGGTCTCTCTTTGTCCCCAGGCTACCGGAGACGAAGACCCATTCTTCGTCCGGCAGCCTGGAGACGACGAAGACGTTGGTTTTTTTTTTAATTAGTTAATAAATAAGAAATTATTATTTTAATTAAATAACCTCTACTTCAGGTAATCAGGTCATTTTGAGTTCAATTGCATTATTTTGCGTTGTTCAGGGACCTAATTGCATATTTTTCGAGTTCAATGGCCTAATTGTATTTTCTAGTGTAGTTCGATGGCCAATTTGACCCTTATTTCAATTTTTTTTTTATTTGATTGCTATAGTGTTCGGTTCAGTTCGAACCGAACCGTGGCCATCCTTACGTATAAACAATAATTTGTTGAACAAGAGAAATAAATAAAATATTTATTTTAAGGGTAAAAATGTCTATTTAATATTATCAGAGAAAAAAACCGTCACTTTTATAATAATTGAGGAGGCAAATGTGGATGCATGAATAACTCAGGGGAAAAAAATGTTATAAGCATATAACATAGGGGAAAAGTGTCATTTTCCTAAAAAAATTTGAAAAGATAACAACAACATCATATCTCAATCTTCATATATACTTTATCAAAATCTATCTATATTCTCATAAATCTTTAAGAAAATATTCCTAATTTGAGCTATTTTTATGTACATGATGCAATAAGGATAAATTGATGATATTTGGACTCGCTTACAAGTTACAATTTATAGATGGAGTAAACCAAGATGCCTTCAAATTTTGCTTCTACGGAATAATAAATTCAAATCTATTTGGAAAAAAAATAAAAATTCAAATCTCTAATTGAATCTCAGCCGTTCAACAATGTCACGTGAGGACCTCCATCCAACGTGGCAACAGCGCAACGGTACGGTCCAACAGATCTTAAATCTTATCCGAATGTTCTGAAAAACCTATAAATACTCCCACCACTCTTCCTCACTTCGTCATATCAGTTTCCCACATTTAGCTCCAACAACCTTAAAACTAGCAGAATTATCCGTTCATTTTATCTAAATTTTTTTTACTATTTCGGTGAGACTATTTTACAATTTTTGTCTGGAAATTGTAAATATTTGTAGAACTTTTTTTTCCGAAAAAAAAGTTAATTTTACCCATGAGTTTGGCACACCAAATTGGATTCATTTCTCGAACGCCAGTAGAGGTTCGAACGGAAAGTGTTACGCGAGAGGCGCCGGCGAAGACGGCGGTGTCGATTTCACCATTGTGGAGGAGAAATCTCCGGATTTCCGTTAAGAATCTGGCGGCGAAGGCGGTGCTGAGAGGCGGTATGGAGGCGGATCTGTCGGCGGCGGTGGAGAGGGAGCATAAGATGGGGAGTGATCGGGGCGGCAGCAGAGGGGTGCCGGTGTTCGTGATGATGCCGCTTGATACGGTGAAGATGGACCACACGATGAACCGGAAGAAGGCGATGAACGTGAGCCTACAAGCGCTGAAGAGCGCCGGAGTGGAGGGGATAATGGTGGACGTGTGGTGGGGGCTGGTGGAGAAGGACTCCCCCGGAGAATACAACTGGGGCGGCTACTCCGAGCTTTTGGAAATGGCGAAGAAGCACGCCCTCAAAGTACAGGCCGTTATGTCCTTCCATCAATGCGGCGGAAACGTCGGCGATTGTTGCAAGTACGTTATAACCTCACCTTCAATTCAAACACATTTCATACCTCACTTTCAACAATAACAAAATCATACCATTTCATACATTTCTGGGTTAAACTAGCCAATTGATCAGAATTTTCCCGGTCTAATTGATTGTATTAAGTTTTCAGTATGGTCTGGCGTTAACTCAATCTTAAATTCTAACATGGTATCATAGCTTGTTAATCTGTATGGATGATTCTTTGTTGTGTTTATGACCCGATTGAGAAAGTTGTTAATTGTTTCCCAAATTTGTAATATTATTCCAGCATCCCTCTTCCAAGGTGGGTGACTGAGGAGATAAACAAGGACCAAGACCTTGCTTATACTGATCAATGGGGGAGGAGGAATTATGAGTATGTATCACTTGGAGTTGACACCCTTCCTGTCCTAAAGGGAAGGACTCCTGTTCAGTGTTATTCAGATTTCATGGGGGCCTTCAGGGATGAATTTCACCACTTGCTAGGTGAAACCATAGTGGTAATTGAGTTCCCTTTTCTCTGCATTATATTAGCCAAGACAACATATATACATAGCTAGAGCTCATGGGGGCTTCTTGAATTGTTTGCGATTTAGGAAATTCAAGTTGGAATGGGTCCTGCAGGAGAGCTCCGGTACCCCTCCTATCCAGAACAAAATGGGACATGGAAGTTCCCTGGAATTGGGGCTTTTCAGTGCTTTGATAAGGTATATATACACACTACATTTCTTTGGATCTTGTTCAAGAATGCTTAATATAACCCATATCCTTCTTGTAATCCTAGCCGGTAAATGATACGATTAGGTTATTCACAGTTAACTGACTCAAGCTCAGAAAGCAAACAAACTACCCTGCTCCAGTCGAAAGTCAAAATTTGGGTACTAATTAAGTTAATAGTCTGATCAACTTGGCTGGGTTGTCTCCACGCATACGTGAATTGATCCTAAAGTTGAAAGTCAAAATTTTAACTTTCTGGGTACTAATTAAGTTAATAGTCTGATCAACTTGGCTGGGTTGTCTTCACGCATATGGGAATTGATCCTAAAATCTGTGTGTTATGTGTTTGCAGTACATGGTGAGAAGCTTGAAGGGTGCAGCAGAGGCTGCAGGGCACCCTGAATGGGGTCACTCTGGTCCAACAGATGCTGGGCAATACAACAGTTGGCCTGAAGACACAAACTTTTTCCGGCGAGAAGGCGGGGGCTGGAACAGCCCATATGGTGAATTCTTCCTGTCCTGGTATTCCCAGATGCTGTTGGATCACGGCGAGAGGATACTCCAGGCAGCCAAATCAACTTTCGAGAGCTACAACGATGTTAAGATATCAGTTAAGGTTGCCGGCATCCATTGGCACTACGGAACACGGGCGCACGCCCCAGAGCTCACGGCCGGGTACTACAACACCCGGTTCCGAGACGGCTACCTCCCCATCGCCCACATGCTGGCCCGTCACGGCGCCATTTTCAACTTCACCTGCGTCGAGATGAGAGACCACGAGCAGCCACAGCACGCGCAGTGCGCGCCCGAGAAGCTGGTTAAGCAGGTCGCACTAGCCACCCGAAAAGCCCGGGTCCCGCTCGCTGGGGAGAACGCATTGCCTCGGTTTGATGGCTATGCGCACCAACAGATAGTGAGGGCTGCAGCACCCAATGATGGCGTGAAAATGTGCGCGTTTACCTACTTGAGAATGAACCCGGAGTTGTTCCAGGCTGAGAACTGGAGACAGTTTGTGGGGTTTGTGAAGAAGATGAAGGGAGAGCTTTGTTTGGATCAGAGAGAGTGCGAGTCTGAGCATTTAAATCCTCCATTGGTGCAAGAAGCTCTCATGCATTAAGAGACTCCCCTCCTGGCCTGGCAGGCCAGCGTATATATATATATTGTTAGTTTTACCACTACATTTTGGTTTTGATGTCAATGATAATTTTAGATTTAGACTTTAGTTTTCAGTTCCATGTTAATTAGTTGAAATGAAAAGTAAATTACTATCACATCCATAGTAAAATTGTCATATGTTCTAACACAACTCGCAACATTCAAACTTATATGTAGGCCAATACAGAACAACTCATGGATTCATCCAAGAGAATGATGCAGATGGATTCATCAATGGGGAGAAAGACTGAAATGTGAAGAGATGCATTCATTTCTCAAAATGTGTCTCCTCTTTTTTTGTGGACAAAAATATGAAAATGACGTTTGGGAGATGCGTTTGATGTCAAAATTGTTGAAACACAAACGCATCTCCCACTTGCGTTTGAGTTTTTTTTTTTTTTTTTTTTAAATTTGGTCGCTGACACTTCTCCGCCGGCAACACGGTCACCGCCGGCAACACCAGCGAAGAAGGCCACTGGTTGCCTTCTCCTTCGTTGGAGAAACCGACGACCTAACTGGTGTTGCCGGCTTCTCCAGTGAAGGAGAAGGCCATTGGTTGCCTTCTCCTTTGCTGGAGAAGCCAACGACTTGGTCGCCGGTTTCTCCGATGAAGGAGAAGGCCACCTCCTTCGCTGGAGAAATCGCGACCAAATTTAAAAAAAAAAAAAAAAAAAAAAAAAAACACAAACACGTGGGAGATGCGTTTGTGTTTGACCAATTCTGACATCAAACGTATCTCCCAAACGCCATTTTTATATTTTTGTCCACAAAAAAAAGGGGAGACACGTTTTGAAAAATGAATGCATCTGCCTTCACATTTCAGTCTTTTTTCCTTCATCGATGAGCATGATGCAATTTGGAGCTGAAAGTGGTGCCGATAGTGCTCAAATGCGAAGGGAAGAGCAAGCTGGAGGAGAACAAATGATGAACATGGCACAAGGAGCCATTGATGGAATGAACAACACACTTGGAAATTGGAATGGGTGATCAAAAGAAGTAGTGAAATTAAGGGCTCAACTGTATTGCTCAAAAATAATCAAATGAGAGGTCTCAAGTTCGAATTTTAGTATAGAATATTGATTATCTCTATTTTCTTAGGTTAAGAAAGTATGTATGAATTACGAGAAATATGGCTTTATAAGGTGAGTTGTGTCTAAATGTGACTTGAGGTACATGAGAGGTGTCCCATATAAAAACAAAAATGTTGAAGGACACCCTTTGATTCTCAAAAGGTTTTGTTGAAAAGATATGTTTGATAGCTACTTTGACTTAATCGAGTGCAAAGTGATTCAATACCTTTTTATTTTGTGCATGAATATTTCTTATGTTGAATCATTCAACTGTTTTATTGGCTTGATTTTCTTAGTTGAATGACTAGTTATACTTGAAACCCGAAGTTTACTTTACTTGAGGACCAACATAGCTTTATGTGAGAGATCAGAGTTGATAAATGTTAAATTTGTCAAACATTTTTTTTATTTTTATTGTAATCTTGCTTGTTGTTCATTAACTTTAAGATAGACGGACAAGTTACTCCAACTTACTATCAGCTCACTTATTGCTTTGACCAAGTTAACTTCGATCAAACAATAAAAATAAGATTCACAACACTCAACGTTAAAAATTTAACAAAAAATATCCATTTCACATTATTTTCTTTTGCTTGCTATTAAAGGGCTTATAAATTGTGTACTATGTGTCATATTTACAAGGAGTTAAAATTTTGTGTGAACTAACTAGTTCACGGCAAATTATGTTGTGCATCCATGTGCACCCGGATGCAAAAACGGCGTCGTTTTACTTTTAAAAAAAATCATTTTCGATTGTCGTTAGTTACGTAAACATATGTTCATAATTTTATAATTTCACATTCTAGATTTATAGTTATGAAATTATGGATGTGTAGTTATGCAATTCTGGATGTATAGTTATGAAGTTATGGATGTGTAATTATGCATGCAATTCTGAATGTATAGTTATGAAGTTATAATTTCACATTTTGAATGTATAGTTATGAAGTTATGGATGTGTAGTTATGCCTGCAATTCTGAATGTATAGTTATGAAGTTATGGATGTGTAATTATGCAATTATGGATTTATAGTTATGAAGTTATGGATGTGTAGTTATGTAATTATAATTTTTTTTTTAAATCAGACGTCAAAATGACGTCGTTTCTGCAACCGTGTGCACCACGATTGCACAGCATAACGCTCCCTAGTTCACACTTTGAAATTAAAAATCAAATCATTATCAATTTGGTCATAATTTGAAATAATTATATATAGAAAAACATATCATGGGCTATGTTTTATATAGTAAACCAATTATCAACGAAAAGACACAATTTTTTAGAAATTATTTTTGATAATATAATGATAATGAATATTATTTCTTAAATAAATTTTGTGTGTGTGTACACACACACACACACACACACACACACACACACACACACACACACACACACACACACACACACACATATATATATATATATATATATATATATATATATATATATATATATATATGATTTGTGAAATTTTTTACATTTTGAGGATAAATGAATTAATAAATCCCAAATAAATTATATTATTAAATTAAAATTATACTTTTTTCCTGAGTAATAATGTTACTTCTTGGTATGTTGTATCCTCCAAATACATGTTGGTTTGTAGGGAATTTTATTTACGAAATATTTCTCAAATTTAGGGTTATGGTTAATTCAAGGTGTATACATACATATTTGAGTACTTAAATATAAACATTATTGACAAACTTGAACAAAAAAGAACATTTAAAAATTTTATGGAAGTGTTAGTTGGCACTTGGCATATATTCACTCCCATAATCGGCAAAATGTTCAGCGCGTGGGGGCACACGAGTTCAAATTAATTTTTTGAGCTCATACTACACGTACAATTCAAACTCCATAAAAAGTTGAAATGTATTTATATTATATTAATGTAAATTTACATTCTTTTCTAATGTTAGACAAATGTAACTTAAAAGTCTTTTTAATGGTCTCGATTGAAGTAAAATGTTTAGAGGGGGAGGGGGGAGGGGGGGGGGTAGGGATGTCAATTAGCCAGCCAGCGAGATTTTGGGTTAGCCTGGTAGGGTTGTAGGACTTATTATTTGGGCTATTTTTTTTTTTTTTTTTTGGAGGTTGGGTTGGGCCTAACCCCCTAAACTACGGGTTTTCGAGCGGGTTGAACCGCTAAACTAAAATTGAAAAATGATAGTGCGTATCCACATTGGGTGGAGCGGAATAATGTTGACAAAATCATGTTTAGTGTACACACACACAAACATATAAAATTTTTTGCGGAAGCCCCGCAGGTTAACCCATAGCCCACGCGGGTTAACCTGCGTAGCTTGCCAATTCGTGTGGGCTAAGCCTGTGAGGCCCGCATTTTTGTGAGCCAAAGTTTTTAGGTGCTAACCCGCGGATTTTGACTCACTTTGACACCCCTAGGATGGGATGAATAGACTTTTTAAAGATTTTCAAAGATTATCATAATTTTATGTTAAGTCACTTTGTAGACTAAGTTAAGTTTTCAACACTTCGAGTGGAGTAATGTTGATCACTTAACTATATAGTAAAAAAAAAAAAGGTTTTCAAATTAAAAGTTGCACAGTGGAAAACAAAATTTTCAAGATACCTTTTAAGGAAGAAATGTAATATGGCAATAAGTAAAGTGCGAAGAAAATAAAGAACACAAGAAATTTATATTGGTTCGGAGGTGATGTAATCTTTTTACTCCACTATTCTCCTATCATCCAAGAGGAAATTCGCTATAACTTGGTCACATTGTACTCTACAATTACAATGAAACCAACAAATTAAGTGCTTTGATCACAAATCTCACACTGATTTGATTAGGTTTTCACAAGACAACCCCTGCTAATGTGCCAACGACCCAAAAATAGTAAGAAATTAGTAGAGAATATTGATCAAGAACATCAACTATTTATCATCCTCCGTTATAAACTTTGTTGCTTATCCATAAATTAAAGCCTTGAAGCTCGGTTATTGAGAAGTCTTGCTGCTTGTAAAATGTCTTGTTGCTTGACCTATATTGCATACAAAACCCTTGATGTCTTCAATCCCTTGCTGCCACTTGAGTTTCTTGTCAAAAATACAAGTCGTACTTGAGTTTCTTGTCAGAAACACAAGTTGCACTTGAGTTTCTTGTCAATAACACAAGTCACATTTGAGTTTCTTAAATTATCAAAATCATTTTTTCCTGCTAAAATATGACAAATGCAAGTGTCCTTGCATTTACCAAAGTGTATACGAGAAATGCATGTCACATATGTATTTATTGTTCTCATCGGTGTGATGTCTTTGGCAACAAGAAATGCAAGTGTGACTTGCATTTCTTGTCCAACAAAGTTTTTTTTTTTAATTGAAACATTTGTGACATGCGCTTCTCGTATTATTATATGAGAAACACAAGTCTTACTTGCATTTCTTGTTTGTAGAAATATATATATGTACGACTTGCATTTTTTATATACACTTTGAAAAATGCAAGCTAAGTAACACTTGCATTTGTTGTATTTAATTTCAACGGAAAAAAGAATTTTATATTTTGAGAAATTCAAGTATAACTTGTGTTTCTAACAAAAATTTAATTTGCAAATGATTTTTTTTTTCTTTCTTTTGTTCAAATTTTAAAAGGAGTTAATAACCATAATAGTCCCTCGACTATACCATAATTACTAATTTGGTCATCAACTATTATTTTTACCCAATTAAGTCCTCAACTATGTAATTTTTACCATATTTAGTCCTCTGTTAATTTGACTATTTGTTGATTGTCAAAAGTGGTGATAAAATTGAAATTTTACTAGCTTTCTCCTTCCTCCTCGTTTAGCCGCACCAAACCATGCAACAATATGCTCCGATTAGCTTCCGACCGGCAAAAAATCGCTGAAAATCAAATCCTTGGGCTCTCCGATGCACAATGCTTTGAACTCCGATGATATCTGCCCAAATATTCATAGGGGATTTGAGATTTGGTGGAGAAAGTCGTTCTGAAGGCGGAATAGTGAGCCCGAGCAGCTGCGCCAAATGTGCATTGTGACTTCAATAATTGAGAACTCTTGAGATTAACATGTCAGTGAAATTTGTGTTGTTATTAACATGTGACTATTAACTCTTACTATTACTTGGCTGTCAAATAGAAGAATAATTGGTCTTTTCCCCCTTCCTTTTGGTATCATCTCCACATGACTATAACTTTTACAGTAATTAACTAGTAACATTGAGGCTAGGTATTGACATGAAGTGCATTACCATGAAGACTGCCAGTTAGGGCCACAAAACCTTTTGTTGGGAATATGCAACCTGCAACTGGACAGATTTTTAAGTGTATTTGATGATGTTCATATTTACAAGGTAACAACACATTAACACTATCCATTAGTGTTATGACGGGTTTCTGTTATAGTAGGAATTTATTCAACTAGCCTGTACAGACTTAGTTCACTGGTTGCAGTATTTATTCAACTAATTAATAGTGTTCTTGTACATATTGATTGATTTTTGTCTTTGTAAAACAGCCAGACCAGCTGGCAACCATTTCATCTTCAAAGCTTCATGCATAAATGCAGCCCCTGTCTGACCTTCATCTCCATCAATATTCTTTCAATGAAGTTTTAGACATGGTTGCAGTAGGCGCTAGACGCTAGTCGGGGGTCCGGGCAGCGCTTAGCGCCTAGGCGGAAATAGTGGGAGATCGACCTGTAGTTTGACAATTTTAATGAGGCTGTTTTCAACATTAAATCAAATAACACATCCAAATAAATGAAATAATGATAATTCATAAGTCATAACATCAAACTAATATTAAAAAATAAAAATACTCAATTATGAAATACTCAAATACTTGAATCATCCAAAGATTCAAAATATCAAACTAGTCGGACGACCGGATCAGACGACATCGGAAGAAATGGACCCACTCGGCCGAATTGGCCGACTAGGCCGATTTTAACCGATTTCGCTGCCTAACCAGTCGATTTTTGGACGCCTAATAGTGAAAGCGGAATGGCATAGGGGCGCCTAGGCGCTGCCTAAGCCGATTTTTACAACAGTAGTTTTAGATGAACATGTAGTCTCAATTCTCGTTGTCATCATCAAAGTGAGTGAAGTAATCATAATTTAGCTCTCCTAGCTTAGCTATCTTTTGCTTTCATCAAAAACTAATGCAAAAACATTCATATCTAGTTAATGAATATAATGAAGATAGGACTTAGGAGGCAACTCCTAACCTGTTGACTTGATCACTACAAGGTTATTAGTTTGACTCCCACTCGTTAAGAATAACCTATTGGCTGGCCTTCTTGGTGTGGTGCATTAGCAGACTGTACCTGCATGCATTTATTATTCACATTTATGCATATATATTATATTAAAAACATAAATTCTACAGTCTACTATTACCTTCCACCATAACCTTACCTTTCCATGACAACCATTCTGCCATTGCCAATATTGTGAAGTCCTTCAAATTGTTCAAAATTAGCACCTTCCAACGATTGTGCATCGGAGAGTGAGCCCAAGGATTTGATTTCCAGCAAAATTCTTTAACGGTCGAAAGCTGATCATAGCGTATTGCCCATGGTATGAGGAGGAAGGAGAAAGCTTAGCTTGTAAAATTATAATTTTATCCTCACTTTTGACTGTCAACAAACAGTCAAATTAACAAAGGACTAAATATAATAAAAATTATATAATTAAAGACTTCATTGAATGAGAATAGTAATCAATGACCAAATTGATAATTACAGAGTAGTCTAGAGACCATTTTAATTATTAACTCTTTTAAAAATTAAAAGTTAAGGTAAGGTCAAGCCAGTTTTTATATTTTTAATGGAAGTTAAGGTAGGACGTGAGCATGCAGAACGGTTGAAAAGTAAGCTTAATTTTGAGGGGCTGTTTTTTGTTAATGGAGGGGGAGTGGGAGGTGGTTTGGCTCTTCTTTGGCGAGATAAGGATATTGCTAATCTGATTAGCTTCTCTAAAAATCATATTGACATTCGAGTCAGAATGCCTGGTTGTGATCCTTGGCGTCAGACGTTTTATTATGGCTTTCCCGAGAGAAGAAGGCGCCGGCAAGCTTGGGATTTTCTGTGTTCTCTAAAATCTCAATCCAACTTGCCGTGGCTGGTTACGGGCGACTTTAACGACTTGGCATCCCCTGATGAGAAAAGAGGTATCCATCCTCATCCTCCTTCGCTAATTGATGGTTTTAATGCAGCTTTAGAGGAATGTGGTCTATTCGACCTGGGTATGCGAGGCAGGAAATATACGTGGGAGCGTTGGAAAGGAACTCCAAATTGGGTAGAAGAGAGGCTTGATAGGGCCGTGGCAAACGCAGAATGGTGTATGTTGTTCACCCATGCTACGGTATTTAACCATGATGTCGTCTCTTCCGATCACACCGCCATTCTTATTGAAATCCATGGCAAGAAAACTACTAGGCAGCGACGCTCCTTTCTTTTTGAGAATGCATGGCTGAAGGAAACAGGGTGCAAGGACACTGTTTTAGAGTCATGGAACATGACGACTGGAGACTGTTTTACCTCTAGACTCAATGTTTGTGGAGCAGCGTTGAAGCAGTGGGGAGGGGGTTTTGCAAAAAAGATTCAGCGCCAAATTGATTCCTTACAAATCCATATGAATATCTTACGAGATAGACGAGACCCTAATGCTATTTCGGAATTTTGTGAACTGGATGCAAAGCTTCACGATCTCTTTGAGCAGTTGGATATGTATTGGCGCCAAAGAGCTAAACAACATTGGCTTCTACAAGGGGATAGAAACACTAAATTTTATCAACTGTATGCGACTGCCCGGAGAAGGAAAAATCATATTCTTAAACTACAAGATGATGCTGCACAATGGGTAGAAGGGAACAATCTTCTGGGGTTAGCTATGAATTATTTTCAAGGTGTTTTTACTTCCAAAGGTTGTTTTATTACTGATCATTTATCAGACTTTGAGCCACGAGTCTCTGACATTGAGAATGCAACTCTGTTACGTCCGTTCACCTTTGATGAAGTTAAAGAAGCCGTTTTCTCAATGGCACCGGATAAATCGCCGGTCCCTGCTGGTTTTAGCCCGGCTTTTTACCAACACTTTTGGAGTGAAATTGGTCCAGACACGGCCAATTTTGTTATCAATTGTGCGAATAATTGTCAATTTCCAGATGGTATGAACGACGCAATTATCACTCTTATCCCAAAGAAAACTGTTCCTAATAATATGGGAGATTTGCGTCCAATTGCCCTATGCAACGTCATTTAGAAAATTTTTTCAAAGATGGTGGCAAACCGACTGAAACCGGTTCTTGAAGGTGTAATCTCTACGGCTCAAAGTGCGTTCTTACCAGGGCGACTAATTACTGATAATGTTCTTGTAGCCTCAGAAGTCATTCACTATCTGAACCGGAAAAGACAAGGGAGAGATGGGTGGTGTGCATTAAAGCTTGATATCGCAAAAGCCTATGATAAAATGGAATAGCCCAATTTGAAGGAGATTTTGCGATGTATGGGTTTCGCTGACCGGTTTATTGAGCTTATAATGCTTTGTGTCACCACGGTTCGATATAAGGTGGGTATTAATGGCGATCTCATAGATTTTATTGTACCGACTTGTGGACTGAGACAAGGGGATCCTTTGTCTCCGTATCTGTTTATTCTGTGTGCGGAAGGGCTTTCTCACTTGTTGACTGGCGCAGTTCGTCGGAAAGTAATTTCACCTTGTGTCGTGGCAAGAGGAGCACCGGGGGTATCTCACCTCTTCTTTGCTGACGACAGTTTATTATTTTTTAAAGCCACAGTGAATGAAGCAGAAGCTGTCAAAGATTGCCTTGTGAGCTATGAACGCATGTCAGGTCAGTGTGTCAATTTTGGAAAATCTTGTATAATTTTCAGCCGTAATACGGATGATATGATCAAGAATAATGTGGCCACTGTGTTTAATGTTCAACAAGTGCATAATATAGGCCGGTATCTAGGTTTGCCGATGGGGGTTGGACGAAATAAACGGGAAGTGTTTGAGTATATTGAGGCAAAACTCAAGCAACGGTTGGGAGGGTGGAATAAAAAGGTGTTATCCCGGGCTGGTAAAGAGGTATTGCTTAAGAGTGTGGCCCAAGCTATTCCGACATATACTATGAGCATATACTATCTTCCTGTTACTTTCTGCGAAAGGCTGGAACGTATGATGAATAAATTTTGGTGGTTGTCTAGTAGAAATGGAGGAGGTGGTATAAGGTGGATGGCATGGGATCGAATGTGTGGTCCGAAATCTATGGGTGGCTTGGGTTTTAAGAATTTGCATAAGTTTAATGTTGCGCTGCTAGCTAAACAAGGTTGGAGGCTTTTATCAAACCCATGTTCAATGGTGGCAAAAATTTATAAGGCTAGATATTATGCAACAAAAGACTTTTTGGATGCTAATATTGGGACTAATCCAAGCTACTGTTGGAGATCAATTGTTGCTGGCCAAGAGATTCTAAGGAAGGGTTGTTTTGTTCGAATTGGAAATGGTCAGAGTACATGCGTGTGGAATAAGCCTTGGCTACCGGACATTGAGAACCCTTTTATTCAAACACCGGCGCCGGATCATTCTGATACAATTAAGGTCAGTTCTTTGTTAATCCCAAATACGGCTGCATGGGACATTGAGCGTTTAAATCAGTTATTTATGCCAAGGGATGTGGAATTAATTAAGAAAATACCAGTGTCACCGGCCTATGATGATCGTTGGTGTTGGAGAGGAGATATAAGGGGATGCTACTCTGTTAAGCATGGATACCGAATGTTGGTGAATTTACCAGAGTTAGAAGGAGGCGCGAATCTGGGCTGGAAGAAAATATGGAATCTGCAAATACCTCCAAACATCCGCAACTTCATTTGGCGGTGTTTCCATAATATGATTCCAACGATGGTTTCTCTTAGTCACCGCGGAGTAGCTGTTGATGTTCATTGTCCTCTGTGTCACCAGGTTCCTGAAACCCTTCATCACCTTTTCTGTGAGTGTGAACATACTGTGCATTTATGGAACACTCATGATGGTTTTATTTTACCGGGGCACAATGAAGGTTTTGTGGTGTGGTTGGCAGGTGTTGTGCAGAACAGCGAGACCATGGTGCTGCTGGACATCCTTGCTAAATTATGGTCTATTTGGAGAGGAAGGAACAGTTTGGTCTGGAGTGCTAAGCCGTGGAATATTGAACGTGTGCGGTTGGAGGTGATGCAACATGCTACTTATTGGCAGGGACTTTTATCATCTTCAGTTGGCGCTATAGACAATAATCTTCCCATGGTCAGTAGCGCAATTATGGATACAGAAGTGGTTAGGATTGAAGTTGATGCTGACAATAATGAAGCTTACTATGGTATTGTAATTTCAGATGGAGATGGGGTTTTCATGGCTGCCAAGAATGGTAAGCTATGTTGCCTCAATGACCCTCATTTAGCGGAAGCCATGGCGGTTAAAGAAGCTTTATCTTGGGCGAAGGCAAGAGGTCACAATAAAATTATGGTTCTCTCAGATTGTCAAATGGTGTGCAACCTTATTAATAGAAGTATGTTGGATCTATCTTATGCAGGTTGTGTGATTGCTGATTGCAGGAATGATCAAAGGCACTTTGAGGTAGTGTCATTTAAGTATTTTCCACAATCAGTGAACAAAGCGGCTCATGCTTTAGCAAGGGCAACTCGTTCTCAAACTGGTCCTTCTGTTTGGTTGTTTTCTATTCCGAGTTGTATTGAACATTTGCTTTAATAGAAACTATATTTTCCCTTCCAAAAAAAATTAAAAGTTACCATTCTTATCATTAGAACATGAAAATAAGTAAATAACCCATTTCAGTCAAAAACTCTAGTAAAAAGGGGAAACAAAATGGTGAATACGACCGTTAATGAATTGGCGCGAGGGCTTTCTCGAGCCTTCTCTTTTTGCACCACTTGCGTGCGCGTACACTTTACTGATCAATCACCTTCTACAACCAACACAATACAAGACGCCCATTTTTCTCTAAACCCCCTTCACTTCTCCCCAAATTACACTCACTGCCACTATTCTTTCTCTCCTCTCTATCCATGGCTGCTCTGCCAACCCACTGCCAATATCTCAACTTTCCCATCTCTTCTTCTCCAAGATTTCTCCATTTCAGGAACCCCACCGCACTCTCCTTTTCCAGGAAGCTCTTATTTCCCAAGAAAATCACTGGGGTCTGGAGGAATTCTAGCTTCCAAGTAAAAGCGTCTTCCAAAGCTAGCTCTGATGTCGAGTCTCTTTCTACTGTTGAAGAGGAGAAGGAGAGTGAGAGGCCTCCGTTCGATATCAATTTGGCCGTCATTCTTGCTGGTTTTGCATTTGAAGCCTACACGACCCCTCCTGTAAAGTCTCATCAATATTGATTATGTTCCGCTTTTTCCTTCTGATATATTTTATTATAATCTTGTTAATTTCTAGTTCTTGGGAGAAATGGAGGAAGAATAAAAATGGTTTTAAAAAGAAGTGATTTTGAATTGTGGGTTCTTCCCTTATTTCGGGATTAATGAGAACACAGCAGGATAATCCTGTAAACTGTCTTGTCCTTATCTCCATTACCCAAATTAGTGAATAAATCATGGTGGACATTGGGCTTCTGTTTAGCGAAGTATTGTAGTTCATATTTCGATTGCCCATGTTGTTGGACAACATTGGGTTTGAGTAAGAATATGGATAGAACATGGCATTCTTCATACATAAGTTGAGCTTTGCGGTTAATCCATTAGTTTCTTGTTATCTTTGGAGCAATCAGTTGACTTACTAGAGTGGAGGATGACCAAGGTTTTGTTTTTTTTCTTAAATTAATTTCCTATTGTTTGTTATCATTCTGACCAGGAAAATGTTGGAAAGCGTGAAGTGGATGCTGCAAATTGTCAAACTACATTTCTTTCAGAGTATTTTTTTTTTCTTTAAAGTTTGATAATGATCACATGTTATTACTTTCACCGCTTCCTTCAATTATGCAATGATAAAGGTGGCCTTATCAAAACTTTGCCTGCTGCCTAGTGACTACATATCTTGATGCTTGTGTGTGTATACTTGGCCTTGACAACATGTGACATTTTCGTGCTTCTTGGAGATAAAAAGTGAAAGACCAAAAAACTGCAGTGTTATCTGCTATATATTTAAAATTTTAAACATTAGGTTCTCCAACAATTGACTGATACCTAATTCTTTTAACTTCATGTTTCTGAAGCAATATGTTACATGTGTGCCTCTTTCTGGTCATCAACATGAATCCTGTATAATAAAATGGCTTGATGTATTACATTTAATAATAATTCCATTCTACCAGTCTTGTCTCCTACTTAGAAAATTATAGCAAGTTCATCCAAAAAGAAAATATAAATAATCAAAATTAAATAAAAACCTCCAATATAATGCTCTAGGGGTGGCATGTATTCTTACATAAGTTTTTCCTACTAAACCTTGTGGTCCAGTGGCACCAAGTTGCTCCCTTATGTGGGAGGCTCTGGGATTGAGCCTTAGTGGAGGTGATATGACTCTTTGTGCTTCAATAGGTTGAGATAGTAGTTATGAACATATACTGCATTGTAATAGAGACAGTAGTATTCAAAAAAAAAAAAAAACTGAAATGAATGTTGAATTTCAAAATGCATTTGGCTTTTCAGGTCATTTGTACGTGAAATTTATGATGGCCAGTTGTTCGTAAAGCTGAAGAAAGGTATCGATCTTCCTGCCATGGATCTATGGGTAATGCTCTTCTTTTAGAGAAGTTTATATCAGTACTTAGTTTGGCACTACTTGAATTCAGTCTGTTCTTGCTTTTTGTTGGATTACTTTTCCTTAGATTGACTACATCACAATTGACTTCAATTCAATATACTTTCTGTAAAATGCTGAACTTTTTCTTACCATGTCTATACTTGTGCTATTTTGACTTTTCAGGGGACAAGTGATCCATATGTGGTCATACAGTTGGATAGCCAGGTTGTAAAAAGCAAGGTCAAATGGGGGTAAGTTCCAACCCTTACTCAAAAGAGATTTTTAACTAAAGTGAATTCAGGGTTTCACTAAATCTTATGATCTTATTGGTCATGGACCAGAGATGAGAAATGATTGCCCTGTTTATCATTATGTTATGAGTAAATACCCAAAATGGTCCTTCGACTATAGCTAAATTCACAAATTGGTCCTCGACTTTCAATTTCAACCAATTAAGTCCTTAACTTTGCAATTTTAACACAATTTGGTCCTCTATCTATTTGACCGTTTGTTGACTGTGATTTTTGAGGATATATATGTAATTTCATGGTCCATCATCGGGTTTTTAAGGTTTCGGTTGCATTTCCAGACCGCACTGTTACATTTGAATCCACTGCCAAAAGCAATCTACCAAATCCGGTCGCCTTTCTTCATCCTCCCTTTGGATTCAATGTAGTTGAGTTCGTACCAGAGCGAAGAAGACGACGTGTTTCCGAACCGGTGCAACGTCATCCTGGAGGCCTCCACGTGCTCCGACGAGAGCTGAAGGTTCTTCTGGAGATCGTTGATCACGGTCAACAAATGGTCAAATAGATGGAAGACCAAATCGTGTCAAAATTGCAAAGTTAAGGACTTTTGGTTGAAATTGAAAGTTGAGGACCAATTTGTGAATTTAGCTATAGTCGAGGGACCATTTTAGGTATTTACTCTTATGTTATTGGTTCAAGGGATAGTTAAAGCTGGTCAATTATATGCATTATAGTACTGCAAATTCAAGAATCTCTCTACATCCATTTTTGTTAGGAAACCTCTGTTTCATCTAGGAAGGTGAGAGGGGAAGGCAAAGAAAAGGAAACAATTGGCTGAGTTTTTTTACATTACTCCTTTTGTTTTAGAATTTATTAGACTGAGCTGAGTCTACAGGTGCCATCCATATTCCTTCTCAAATGATGCATAAAACAAGAGTGCTAGTTCAATTTTCTATTTAGATTCTCATTGTCTTCTAAATAATTTTTTTTACATCAAACTTGGTCCTTTCCAGTCATTGCTGTTATGGGAGCTTTAGTTCAAATTGTAGTAGATTAGTTATTTATCACTTATTATTTGCCATCTTAAATAAGCTGAGGAGAATGAGCCACTTTGTACTAACTTTTTGAAATGTCTATTGATATATGGTTCTATCATCTAATGTGGAAGTATAGGATTTAACCTCTTCATCATCCATTGATGTGCTTATGCTACTAACATGTACTTCTATCTTTAAATGCCATCCAACAATCTTAGAATTGCTAAGTTTTGCAAGAAAATGGGAGCAGGACCAAAGAACCAACTTGGAATGAGGAGTTTGCTCTAAATATCAAACAGCCACCAGTCAAGGATCTTCAGGTTTACCTCAGGTTCCATTTGTATCCATTAAATTTTCATACTAACTTATTAAGAATTTGTTAAATCATTTTAAATTGAGTAAATGTTGTATACATCATTTAAAAAACATTTTATTCAAACATTTTGTCTTCATGAGCTACTTTATGCTTCATATTTGTCACAGTGACACATTTAATGTGTCAATGTCCATGAAAATCATTTCATGTCTTATGAATTTTGAGCAGTCTATTATGGCATTCCCCTCTTTTGAGAGTTACATAATGCTTTTATTTTTCCTGTACACTTTCCTATTTTAAATGGAATGTTCAAACATCATTCAAAAATTTTCTGTCTTTGACTGGACTTAGCCTTGTTGTTTATTTAGTCATATGCAACTAAATGTCAGGTTGCAGCTTGGGATGCTAACCTTGTGACTCCACATAAGCGTATGGGAAATGCAGCAGTTAATTTGGAAAGCCTTTGTGATGGTATGACCTCAACTAAATGCTACACAAACATAAAATCTTGTCCGGCATCAATTAGGCAAATACATATACTGTCCTTAAAAAAATTTACTTGGATAAGTGAGATTAAATATTCTTCCATTGCAAATTACAAGTTTATGTTTTTGTAGGGAATATGCATGAAGTGCTAGTTGAATTGCAGGGAATGGGAGGTGGTGGGAAGTTACAAATAGAGGTATGTTAAAAGGCTTCCACATGAAAAATACTATAGGTGCATCCTATTCCTTTCTCCAATTGGTTTTTGTATCTATTTTGTTTGCAATTCATTAAGATTCTAGCCATGTTATGAAGAATATTTCTATAACATATTAATAACCTTCTTTCACTAGATTTTGCTTTCCTTATCTTTTCGGTGCTAGTAGAGCTCTGAAATAGGCACCCTTACAAAGAGTTATACTGGATTCATAACATTATGTTTCTAAACTTTTCTAACGGACACAAACCTTGATAGGAAGGTCTTTAAAACAGATGTCTTACCAAGGAATTGCTTATAGATGCACAAAGCAATTAATTCAAATCAATACTCTTACTGTTTTAGCCTCTGCGACATTGCAATTTAGATCTCAGGGGTAAAACCTTCTTGATAGAAGAGCCATTGAGTCTACAACTTTACTATTGATTATTTATCATACCTTGTTTACGAGTCTCCTTTGCATGTGTACTCTAATTTATGATATGGAATGATTCAGATCAAGTACAAGAGTTTTGATAAAATTGAAGAAGAAAAGAAGTGGTGGCGCATTCCGATAATAACAGAACTTCTTGAGAAAAATGGTTTTGAATCTGCGTTGAAGACAATTCTTGGTTCGGAGACGGTGCAAGCACGGCAGTTTGTTCAGTTTGCTTTTGCACAGCTAAAATTAATTAATGATGCAGAAATTCAGAAGGATCAGA